GGAGAGTGGGTGGGTGGGTGGGGGAGATAAAGGGGCGAGGCTGGCGAGTAACGGGCTCGGAGGAGATGAGCAGCAGGGGCCCGGGAGCGGGGATCCCTGGGACCCCAGAGCTTCCTCCTCGGGACCCGGTGATGCAGGGCGAGCTGGGCCAACGGAACGAGCTTGGGAACGCCTCTCGCGGGTGGGGCTGCGGGTGGGGGCTCCGTGTTCTGCCCCGGATTCTGGGTTAGGGTGAGGTGGAGGGCGGTTTGTGGAAGCAGGCACAGCCGGGTTGACACCTGCGAGCGCGCGTGGGAGGGAACTCTGGGCTCCGAGGAGTAATCCTGAGCTTTCTAAGATGCCCTGTTCAACTCCTTTCTGCCAAGACTTTTTTGATTGCCTTGTCTCTGAATCCCCATACCTAGCCGGGGATGCAGGGCTTATCCCTGAAATCCCAGGGGTCTGACGGGTCAGCAGCGGATCACGAACCACGTGCAAAAGAGTTCATTTGTGCCCACGTACGTCTGTGGGGTGTATGCATCAATGTGTCCGAAGGGGCCACTGTGTCCCAGGAAGGGAGTGTGTACTCTGTGTGAAGTTGGTGCTGACTCCACTAGAACTTCTGGTTCCTCCCCCTCCCTCCCTGATTGCATCATTAGTGCTAATTGAGGGGCTTTCACACGCCAGTGCATTAGCTGTTTGGAATAAGCTCCCTCCTCCGGGGAGAGATAAGCTGCTGCTCCCCCCCCCCTCCCCACAGTTCTCCATTTCCCCACCGCCCTGAAACTGTCCGCTTAGATCCTCTCACCTCCCTGGGCACCCTCCTGCCTCCCTCTGGGCAAGTTATTCTGCCCTCCCAGTAATGTCAGGATTGGCTGGGAATAGATGGTTGGGGAGGAGAAAGATCCAAAGCCTCCTTTCTGAGGGGGTGCCCAAAAAGGGGAAATTTTCTCAGAAGAGGTGGGCTTCCTATAGAAGGCAGGGTCTCTACTTAGAAAGGGAACAGATATTTCTGTTCTTTTGAACATGGAAGGGCAGAGGAGAGGGTTCAGTTCTCTTGTCAGGCTATGATCCCACTAAGGTAGGCCATCCAACACTGACTTCTTGGTTCTGTAAGATTTAGAGAGTGGGGCCCCCGGCTAACTTAGCCATCATGGAAAAGGCAGGGTGAGGGAAGCCATGATCCCCCCTGAGAGCTTTGGTTTTGGTCTGATCTGTTCCTGTTTAACTGCTCTGCCCCGTACTGGCCCATGGCTGCCTGGTGTTGGGGGAAGGCTCTGAGCAGATGCCCTCCCCAGCCCTCACACCAGATGTCTTTGGTCTAATTAACTGTGCTGGGAAAACCAACCTGGGTTTGTAAACAGAGCTACTGGCTAAAGTCAACAGGGAACAGCAGCAAACAGCAAACATTCCCCTTGCACTCTGTCTCAGTCCAATTCAGCCTCTGGGGGGAGAGGGGAAGCTGGGTGGATCAGGGGCCCACTGGCCCACAGCTGAGTCAGGGAAAGCTTGTCTACCTCTGTGGCCCCAATATGGCTGTGATTTCCTCCTGGGTCTCCTCTATTGGGGAGGGGACTGGGAGGAGCAATTGCCATCCCAAGATAGACACTGTCCCCCTTCTGGAAAATGCCCCATGGATTTTTTTTACCCAGCCAAACATCTCAGTCCATGAGGCACCTTTGCCAGAGGAATATTCCTTGAAGAACTTTCTTTAGGGCCTGCTCTGCGTTCATGTCTTGGAGAAGCCTCTGAGGGTAGGACTTGATATTGTGGGTCTACAGCTCCCTGTTGGTGACTATAACGTGAACATTGTTAAGTTCATTACACATCATGTAGGTATTATAATAACATGTTCTGAAATTAGATAATTATTCCTGTGATATTTCTGCCAAGCTTCAGTATTTTTGTTATGGTTTGAAAGTTCAGCGCATTCAGGGCTAGAGAAATGCACAAATGTACACGTAACACACACATACACACACACACACACATACACCCACCCGCACACAACATATACACAGAAGCCCACCAAATGGGAGCCTCATAGGAACAAAGGCATCTCAGTTGTCTCCCTCTCCCACTCTCACCCACTCTCAGACACACAGACATATAATCTGAGACGGTCAAAAGGCTTTTGGCTTTTGAAATAAAAGGATTGAAGTTTCTGAGCAGATTACAGTTTCTGAATTGATAGTTTTTAATCAAATTTTGCTTATTTGCTTATTATATATTGTGCCACCCAGGGAGAGGAATTATTTCAAATCGAAAGACACCAAACACTATGTTATGCTACTATAGGTCCCTGATCTATGTCTATTTCTCTATCTAACACCAAGTAGGACCCATAGCCTGGGCCTCACAGGCTACAGTCCTCAGGCCAATGTCCTGCTTACAACCCCTTGTGCTATCTTCAGATGGGAGTCATTCCCCCTTGTCCCCAAGCAAAGTGCTCTCCACAGCCCTCAGAGCAGTGTTGATGGTACTAGCAGGAGAAGGCTCAGTGCTTTGGACGCTATGTTATCTGGCTCTCCCGCTCCCTGCCCCCATCCAAAACACTAACTTGATTACCAATGCTTGGGAAGGAGGCTGATGGCCCAGGCTGCATTTCTTTGGATATGTCTCTGGGGTACCTTCTTTCTGCATGCTGTTGTCAGGATTGTAATACCAGCCTTCCATTAGTGTTGTTTATTATTGACTCTTTTCTTTCCAGTCCAGGTCTTGAACACCTCTTTTGGAGTGTCACTCTCCTGCTCAAAAACCTGGAGGATAAACTGAACTGGCCTCAGGCCTCCAGGAGCTGACCCCAGCTCTTCCTATAGAAAGCCAAACTCTAGGGCTGGTGTGGTGCTGGCTCCTGACTTGCTGCTATCATCTGCCTAGTGCCTCTCCTCTAGGTCCCTTCCTCCCAGTACCTCCTTCCTGAAATACCTTCTGCTAGGCTTTCCATTCTGTCTTTGCTAGCTGGTTCTTCAAGTTCTCCCCAAAGTGAGTTATACACAATACTTCTGCAATTGGGGTACCTGAGTCCCTGAGGCTCTGGAGGGTATGTTCTTGGGAATTCTGTGGCTTTATGTTTTTTTAAAGGAAACGTACAGAATGCATTTTTCAGGTCTTGGAAGACTTGTGTAAAGAGATTAAGAAGTGAAATCAGATACTTAATCTCAGTTCTGAGTTTCCTTGGGCAAGTTAGTTACACTCTCTTTGTGTAAGTTTCCTAATTAGGAAAACGGAGATAATAATAGTACCTACAACATAAAGTTGTTGAGAGAACAAAATGCCAAAACAAAGTGTCTGGCATAAGACAAGCGCTCAGTGTGTGTAATCTACTGCTAGTATTAATAATATTAAACAAACAAACATCTGCGACAGCATGTTAGACAACTTGGTTGGCTGTAACTCTGCCTAAAGGCAGAAATGACTTTTAAACACTTTCTACCCTGCTTCCCACTAGTGAAATCTCTCAGCCTCCTGGGGTTTATTGAGACCTGTAATTTTAACTTTTTCCCAAATCAGCAAACCAGCAATTGATCAGAAGAATTCTCACTGGTGGCCGCCCTCCCCAGAGCTCCCAACTGGGAGGGAAGACCATGAATCTGGGTCTGGGCTCAGCCACCTGATGGCCACAATGCCCCAGAGCAGGTACAGGGCCTCAGCTCTGTCCTTTCTGGGGCAAGGTTCTGGGGGAGGGACTGATTCTAAAATGAAGGGGGATGGAGGGGTGGAGTCAGGCAGCCTGCTCCTCAGCCCCTGCCTCCTCCAGGTAGGAAGTGAAGCTGATGTTTTAAAATATAAAAAACAGATGATGAAGGTCAGGTTACCTATACACTGGAGAGCGTGAGCCCCAAGGCAGAGTCCCCAAGAAATTATCTGAGACGGTGTGTGTGTGGGGGGGTGGGCGGCAGAGAGAGAATAGAGGTAGACAAGGATGCCCAGACATGGAGCAGACAAAAAAAAAAAAACCCCGCTGAATCCTGAGAAAGGGAGACAAAGAGAAAGTTGTGGCTCAGGAGAGATCCTTCTACCATCTCTGGAAAAAAGCTTAGTTC